AATGGTAAGCTGCAACGGTTGTTTTTTTAAACATTTATTGGGAGAAGAATTTTCTTACTTGTAAATAAATAGCAATCGCAAAAACAATTATAGTGGCAAGTAAATTCAATAAATTAGGTAAATCTTCACGAAAAAATGTGTCATATAATGCTTGAATTTTATCATGTTGTGTTGCCAAAAGATGAAATAAAGCGATAATACTATCTTCAAATTCAGTACCACGTTTAGTATTTATTGTCACTGGACTGCATGCTTGCCAAAGTGTTGTTTCACAAACAGTTATTGCACTAAATAGTATTTTACCGTAACCAAGAGCATAACCTTTTTCTATTAATTCATCAAATAATAAAATAGTAAAACCAGCGACAGACAATTGAATTATAATTAAAAGACAAATACCAATTCCGATTTCCGCTGGATTACCATTCCTATTTACAACAATAATCTATCGATTTCTTTCATCTCTGATGAACTTACGTGCCAGTCATGACTAAAACAATAGCCTGTCCAATAGTAATTAACATATAAAAGAGTTTTTGTACACTTTTCAGTAAAGCACAATGGAAGAGGATATCATAAGCTGCAATGTTATGTAGACCGACGAGTAATACAACGAGATGATGTGATATAATGAATGGTGACTAACCTAACTCCATTAGTGTATTTCGATTTGATGCAAGAATAGCTTTAGACCTATAATCGGAAGTGAATGGGAAACCTAAAATCTGTTTTGTTTGAAATACTAACCGAGAAATGGAATCAGCTGAGTACGGTGACATAATACCGAAAAGTGGTGTTAGGCGATAACTTAAAAATATCGACGAAAGTATGACTTGCCATAAAACGTTTTCATGCCATTGGACTTTTTGTTTGGGTGATGCAATCGTTGGTATACGTTGACGGAATGATTTGAAAAATTCAAGAAATTTCAAGTCCATATTTTATGAAACCTTTACTAAGATTTCTACCAACTATCAAAAATGAAAATCAACTATTGGCTGTTTGTCTCAATTTCACACGTAGACGAATATTCTTCTCCCAATAAATGTTTAAAAAAACAACCGTTGCAGCTTACCATTAAGGTAGATATATCAATGGCCACAGCCACCGTCGCAATACCCTAATCTAATAAAAATGGATTATCAGATGAGATAGGTCGCATATTTCTAAAGAATAAATTTGAGAGGTATATCAATCGAAAAAGGAACTAACCTATCGTTTTCAATCGGAAATCGAGCGATCACTAATGAACTTAAGTTATAATGAGCTTCATTTGATTTTACGCGATAATTTACTGATGAAAGAAATTGAAACTTTGACTCTGAACAAAACATACTATTTCGTTTTCCTGTAAGTTTTTCCAAGATCCCTTTTGAAGTGAAATACTTTTTGATAGCAAAGTTATATAGCAGAAACTTCTATTGTTCTGGTAATTCTTTTTGTTTATGTTCTATCATCTTTCTACTTTTTCGAAGTGTAAGTTGTTGAAATCTGACTCAACACTGAAGAAACGCAAAAGAACACATTTGTCGAATCAGTTTTGCTCACAAAGAGAAGTTCTTATTTTTCGACAGGTGTCATTACGTTCAAGATTTCTACGGTAATAGTTTTCTTGATAGTATTTCATATAAAAGCTGAGAATTGTCTGTAATAGGAGTATGATATTCTTGTTCTTTACTTTTATTTAGTTCAATATTAATTATAATCCTCTTTATTTGCTGATTAAAATAAATTAACTATAGATTGTGACAACAACAACTGTATCTGTTATAGCTAGGATGAATGAAACAACTCTTTCTCTGATCGGTACTGTAACATATCTGAACTTTTGTCTTTCACTACTCAACTAACGAGGAAAGGTTTACAAATCAGAAAGTGCTTTTAACTCGGGACTCTGCTCATGATGCACGTCACAACGATCTGTGAATACTATGAGAAGAATCTGGTGTCCTAGCTTGTTGCTATTAATATACAATATTTTTAAAGGCATTATTTTAGTTATATGTTATGATTTCACTCAGAAACGCTGGAAAATCTGAATATAGAATTGTTAAATCTTCAATCATTACGATAAAGACAGAGACGATTGATAGTCACTCTATAGAATTTGCCATATATTTAAGCGTTTCGCACGAAAATGTCACAAAGTTTTATCGCTAAAGCGCCCTACGAAAATGTTTCGGAACAGCTTGAAGTCAGCTTCCTCATTAGCAAGGCATTCGTATTAAAGAGTGCAATGACTTGCCAACAAACATCTTTCTTTGTTGATCTTTACGATAAGATCTTGGAATCTTCTATTTTCTATACCATAGAATATATTTTGATCGTAGAAGAATACAAACGTGGCTTAGTTCAGCCTAAATCAACACTCTGAAATTCATATGTATATTCATGAAAATCTATCTAACGATTCCTGTCTTCGTATAATTTAACGATAAGCAAATGTATCATCATGCTTAAAGCGTAAATGGATGACCACTATTTTCAATGTAACTACGATGGTTTTCATGTAAAACCTGCATCGTGAGTAATAGTGCTATATTACATAGAAAATTAGAATACACATGGTTGAGCGTTTTATCTGAAAAATATTACTAACATACTTCCATAGAAACAGGCAAGTGATAAAGTTTCACATAGACTTTTAGAATCGAAAATTTTACTCTGATAACTTTTTTCTGTTCTGGATTTTTTGTTTTTTTGGATGCTATTAGCATTGAATTCTTTCTTTCATTTATTGACAAAATGCTATAAAAACAGAATCATTTTTACATTGCACACATTCCACTGTAAGTGGAAACAAAGATGAGATTTGTTATGAAACGAAATTATAGTTACTTTGGTAGCCTAAATATAATAATGTATAATAATCATTCTATTCTAGTCTTCAAACAGCCGCTCTTATTAAAGAGGCTCCGACCAACTCGAATCTTCATAAGAAAAATAATCCGTTTCAAGCTGAACCACTACCATTCAAAGCCTGCTGAAGTTTATCGCTATCTATTTATATAAATTATTTTCTATTATTTCCGTTACAATCAATATCCCAATAATAACGAACAGCAAATATTAATTTAGAGTTTGGAAGATGACTTGTTGCCTAACTTTCTTCAATTTTGAATATTCGTTGACGGTTGTGTATGTGAACATGTTAAATTTTCATCATCTAGATTTGTTTGATTTGTACAATACATCTATTTTGAGTATTAATAGTCAATAAACGACCTCTTGTTAACGATCGTTTCAATGCTTTGATAACGCATCAATAATAATTAATGCAGACGTCAGCCGTCTTTTTAGCCTATTATTTAAGCTCTTTCAGCCATTAACTATTTGTGTAAATATGCTGAATTCATATCCCAAAGTTCTAATACTAACAGTATAATTACAGAAGCTAAATAGACTATATCTACATATATGTTTTGGGCGACTTTCTTTTACTCTGATTAAAAACTACGACCGATGAAATGAAACTGTGAATGGGTGTGGGTGTGGTTGTGAGTGGATCTTACTTTGGTTCGCTCCTACACCCACACTCACACACCACACCCTCGTTTGCTGAAATTATGACAAACATATTCGAATTTTTCTTCAGTAATACTATCGTTGATGAATTCCTGCTTTTTAGTACGATTTCCAAATTTCATTAACCAGTAAGTAAAGTGAATGTCGCATGCCAATTATAGTATCTTGAAATACCAAGATGCTAAAAGTGAAATCTTCTCTAGCAGGAATAAAAAATGCGCTAGCCAACAACGTATAAGTGCATCAATAATATTTATAGCATGCGGTGCTTGATGTCTCCAAACCTGACAGCGGTGAGAAAATTCACACTGACGCCAACATATGTGTTTCATTCAGAAGATTTTTAGCGCTCTTGAAAGTAAATAAACTACCTTTATCAAAATGTCACAATCTGAGCCAGATAGGTAACCAGCCAAATTTGCCTTCTTATGTTACAACGTCTTTAGTGTTCATATTTGGAATATGATCAACTTTTGTGACAGTTACATTTTATCTGTTGTACACAACATAAATTAGTTGAAGGAGAAACATGATAGTTTTGTAGCATCAAGAAAACTTAGCGCTTACCAACATATCGCATGATACGATAGTTGCTTCGAGTGCGTCGTTTTATTACTTTCTTCTCCTTCAAATTGTCTGACTCAGAATTTTTCACGCAGTAATATTTTGTTAATTTGTTTTCTTAAGATTTCGATGATTTCATCATTGATCTAGCGAAGTTCTACATAATAATTCAACTTTTTCATTATGCTGTAAAAGAACGGCAACACTACGCAGATTATGATAGTCAAAAACTCTTATCCGTTTCGACCTATAATATTGGATATTTCTTTTATTACTTGAGGTATTTTCTATTTCCTGTTTCATCATAGTTTTGTGTCATTTTCTGAGAACACCCGCACTCTATCGTTCTATCTGTAATCATGTCATCATTCTTTTACTCTTTATTAATGGTTTGCAATTTTTCATTCAAATATCAGTATGTCTTAGCTACTATACTGTCGGTATTCATTCGCCACTAACTGTCTCTTCTTGTAATTTCTATTATTTCATTGATTTTTTTCTGTTTACTACTTGTTTTCTACTGTTAGTATGGGCCTCTTTCGAACGGCATATTCTAATTTTTCACAAGAATTATTTCTATACGCGCCAAAGACGTATCTTGTGCCATTATATACCTCTGAGTATCTGTACTATTTATCCGTTTATTTACTATATTATTTTCATATTCATTTATTCATGTAAAAGTTATTATAATACAAATATTAGTAGTTGCATCCAACCATATTATTTGGGAGTAAGTGCTATAATGGCTGCATATGAGCAATTTGCTCATGGATTTATCTTAATGTTTTTCCTTTTTATTTTCAATTTCTCATTTATATTCCGTCTTATTCGACAAAAACGGCGAATTGATGGGCACATCAGATGGATTCAAAATCGTAGGATGACATTGCCATTGATTCTTGTTTTTTGCTTATTTGTAACTACCAATACAGGCTATTTTACCATTCAACTGGAAAAATTTTTATGGAATCCAAATTTATGCCAAAATATCATTCTTTGAACTGACTCAATATCCTTCTGTATGCCAATATTAATTCCTTTTTTAATTCTTGCTAGTTTAGAAGACATAAGGAAACCATTCACGATTTTCAAGCTATGCTGTGGTTTTACTAGAGTGATGTCTGGCATTTCGATAACATAACAGCAACGTCAGATTCCAGTTACTCGATGAAACTATGCTTAGCATGTTCTAATCATTCTTTTCAGATGTGACTTTGTCTTCTAGTCCGAAAACATGTATTATCATTTCAATTAATCATGTTTTTGTTGTTGTAATATATCCTATTATGAAAATATTCACTTTGATGCTGTCTATCGAGTAATGAATAGAATCACTAAGTATAACCAATCTATTGGCGTAGACATAATATCGCGAATGTTATATTTAGATGATAAAAAATTTTCTTCTCGGCAAACTCGAATGTTAGCATCTGAATAATATGTGTCAAAATTGCTTGTGCAGACGGGGGTGTCGGTATAGATATGGGTCTAGGTGGAGTTGAGTAATCATTGATGTGTGACTATGATTAAAATAAACTCACACGCTCACCCATAATGAGATTCATAACTTGAAAAGAAAGCAAAATATGGATGATTTTGTATGATGGAGTAACAAGTGATTTGAGTTCGGGTGTGAGTATGTCAATAGTTCTAATATATTGTCAAAATGTCAGGATGTGGACGTGAGTAGGTTCCTCTTCCTTACTCACAAGAACAGCCATGAATCGATGAACCTGCACTCACATCAACAATCACAAGTATTTTGAATTCGCAATACTTTCTCTTAATGGTTTGATAAAAAGAAATTTATTTGTAGAATCTTCAAACTACATTATTATTGAAATGAGCTTATTTCTAACTGATATGGATTTGATTTTGTACGTGCTATATATGATTAATATAAAGTAGAATGAGATTGAGTCAATGACGCACATTATGTGAAGAATTCTTGAAGTAAATTACGAAAGAATAATTTTTCTGTTTTCATTTTTTGACAAAATATGAAAAACTCTTCTTTAAATATGCGTCTTTCTTTTGTGAAACCATTGTTCTTCTCTGTAAGACTTTACATTGACGGAAAAATATTTAATATACATCTAGACGAACGACATTCTGAGTCCATATAAAGCAGAAAAAAAGAAAAAAACAAATAAGTTTTTCTTTGTCGTTCTCTAATCTCTATCAGACTGAAAGCGAAAGGAAAAGAAGAATCGACGTTCTCACACAAACAGATATTACAGAAAGAAAAAAAAAGAAAAAAGGACTGAACGTGCTTGTTTTTTTTTCTTTGGGTTTGAACACAACGTGTGCAGCATTTGAGAGTGTGCAAGCTAAAGAAATAAACATGAATCTTGAATCATTAGCCAATGAATTACTCATTGATATATTCGAATTTCTGTCTTGTGCTCATCTTCTTCATGCATTTCATGGTCTCAATGCTCGCTTCGATTCTCTTCTTCTTGATCATTTTCGTACTCATGGTCTTGATTTTCGATCAATATTAAAACATGATTTTAATGTAATATGTCGACATCTTTATGTAATTGCTAATCAAATAACTTCACTTTATCTCTCCGAAAAAGATGATACTCCTGGACAAATTGATCAATTTTATTCTCGTGGTTTAACTTTGCGTCAATTCACTCGTTTGCAATCATTATCATTGTATCATCTTCATTCTCAAGATACAATGAACAAAATACTATTAGATTTACCTTATTTATCTAATATTACACATTTGACTTTTGAAGAATGTTGTTTTGCATATGATGACATGAATGCTCTCACTTTTATCACTATCATATGGAGTTTACCGAAACTTACACATTGTTATATGAAAATACAATTTAAACCCCAAATTTATTTTCCTATACCAACAGTAATTTCATCAACTATTGAACATCTATCTATTAGGGATATCGAACCGAAATTTAATGAAATGTCTCGTTTATTAGAAAAAATACCAAATCTTCGACATATTTCTATAGATTTTCATTTCAATTTTTCCGCTGGATGCCAATCATCAATTATGACATCTATAATCACCTTGAATGTATCGTTTTTCTCGATAGAATATCATATTTTAGTGAAGTTTTTCAAAATCCTGCCCAGCTTACGTCAATTAAAAGTCGATCTACCTAACATGTATATAGATGGAAAAACATGGGAACAAATTATTGGAACATATTTACCTAAACTTAGACGTTTTCAATTTCGAATGAATGATGAAATTGATAACGATAGTGATCTAGAACAGCAAATCGATGAAATATTGAACTCATTTCGAAGTCAATTCTGGCTTGACAAGTATCAATTATGTGTTCGATGTGATTGGAATCCACATAGTAACAATATTTTCCTCTATAGTTTACCATATGCATTTGATAATTTTTATTTTCAATCTCCTATTGTATCAAAATCAAGTTGTCATGATGATAATCAACAGTGGTCATATAATTATGTGCGTAGACTTACTTGCAAGGCTAATTTATCCGAATGGTTGACTCTATCTCATATACAATTCAATAAAATACGCGAACTTTGTGTCTATCTTCCTATTAACGAATATTTCTGGTCAATCATTCCAAGACTTGAACGATTGACATTACTCGATGTCTTATCAAATGATGATAATGAAAATTGTGATATTCAATTACAGACTTTACTTGATAGAGTACCTCATTTATTTTTATTACGTCTTCGTAATTGGTCATCCATGATTACACAAATATTACCAGTTCGAAAAAACACTCTTTCAATCTCTCAATTAGATTTAATGTGGTATAAATCGTATAATTATGACGAATGTTTTATACTGGGTCGTTTATTGTTAGATATCCAATGTAAGATGCTATCAATTTATGTCACAGACCGAACATGTATACTTGAACTTGTTAATACAATGACTAATCTTCAAGCGCTCAATATTCGATGTCAAGAGGATCAATCGAAAAATAGTTTAATATCGATGGAAGATGAACTTATCAAATGGTTGGAACAATATTTACCATCTTCATTGAAGATAACTAGAGACTATTATCCAGTGTGTTGTATTCGATTATGGATTCGTTAATAAACTGAAAAATTCATATATTTAGCAATCATATTGTAACTTATATAAAACATGAACGAGTTAAAGATTTTCCAAAAACGGCGTAGGTGTAAATTTACCTCTTCTTTTCTATCCCACCCATACCCACAATTTATTTATTCTGATACTTGTACATCGCCCTGAGAGCAATTCGAATCGGTTCAGTAGTGTCAAACCTGAAAGTTGAATTCAATTGTTGAAAATCTACTTCAATTATTCAATTATTCCTATTTCTCCGTACTCACACTTGGTCGCGTGATGTGTATGTGTAAAGATATGTATGTCATCCCCCTCCGAATTCCCTTCTCCGCACCCATACCAGGTGAAAAGTGAATAATTGAATAATTGAAATTCAACTATTCAATAATTGAATAACTGAATAGTAGAAGTAAATTTTCCATAATCGAATCCAATTTTCAGGTTTGACATATATGATTTGTTCTGAGAGAAACAGAAAATGTAGTGTAGATTTCTGATTCTTTATTCAATTATCCTGATAGTTCTAGTGCATTTTATTAAGCAAATTTAATCAGCAAAATAATCTTACTTTTTTTTTCTTGGTTTAGTTATTTTGTTACATCTGTTGTGTTTTATCAGGGAATTAGAATCAGATTACTGAATTTAATCGAATTCTTCTCGTTTGTATATTCCGAGAGTTATCGAGTATCTTATTGAAATGAACCGAATTATTTGGCTTTGTTTTGCTCTACTAATGCCAGCGATGATTTTCCTGCGTCTTAGGACAGAAACAGAATTAATCAGTTTAAGTTATTTTCGGGGTGTGGGTGTACGTATGTCTAATATCCTCTACCCATCCACATCCACACCCACAACCCAAACCCACACACTCACACCCACCACACCCGCTCAAACCCACACCCACTAGCATGCAGTCCAGTGACAATAAATACTAAACGTGGTACTGAATTTGAAGGTAGTATTATCGCTTTATTTCATCTTTTGGCAACACAACATGATAAAATTCAAGCATTATATGACACATTTTTTCGTGAAGATTTACCTAATTTATTGAATTTACTTGCCACTATAATTGTTTTTGCGATTGCTATTTATTTACAAGTAAGAAAATTCTTCTTTTAATGATGAATTATTTGAATTTTTGTAGAGTTTTCATGTTGATGTACCAATAAAATCCGTCCGTTATCGTGGTCAAATATCATCATATCCGATTAGATTATTGCATGCATCATACAAACCAATTATTCTTCACGAAGCATTTGTGTCAAATCTATTATTTATATCAAAAATGTTATCAATACTTTTCTCTGGATATTTTTTAATTGACTTATTAGGTATTTGGGTCGATGATGAACTCCAAGCCTCAAAACCTATTAGTGGTTTCTGTTGTTACATCTCGCCAGCAGTATCATTTCAAACCGACCCTGTACATGGAATGATTTATATTGTACTTTTGTTTAGTTCATGCATATATTTCTCCCAAATGTGCGTTGATGCGTCTGGTTTGAGTGCCAACGATGTTACTAAGAAATTAAAAGAACAGCAAATGGTTCTGCACGATCATCGTGAAGGAAAAATGATTCAAGAACTAAATAAATACATTTCGCCAGCACTTGTCCTATGTGGTTTCTGCATTACTGCGCTATCATTGTTGGCTGACTTACTTGGTACAATCGTTGAGGATCCTCATATCCTATTCTTTGTTATGGTTATTTATCAATACTTTGAAATATGTTTGGAGGAACAAAATAAACTCACTAGTATGGAAACAGTTTTATTCCAAGGTACTTTTTTTACGACTTGTTGGCTTATTCCTTTGTTTTCTTTTCGTCTTATTTATGTATGTGTTTTTATCTATATTATTTAATCATGAGACATGGAGATATTCCAATTTTTCTTTATCAATAAACAACATATTGAGAATCTGAAGAAAAATTGATAATTGCTGTAAGATAAAGTAAATGATTAGGTACCAAAGTTGCTCACAAGACAAGATAAGATCTTTATGAGCCATTCCATATAAACCACAGCCAATTCTCTACGATGATGCTAAATCGATATTCTCCGATTTGGTTCATCTTCACATATGTGATAGCGGCAAGTATTTGATGCAGTTTCGCGAAAGTCTATTGAAAAAACAGAGGAGAAGAATGACTACGTTCATTTTCATCCAATAGGATTCGACTAGTCCATAGATCCAAGCATTTTGAAAACTTCACTCCAGCAAATATTTTACTTTGTTATATGAGATTTATCATCCATGAAAGTGTCAACTTTCTCGCTTAAATCATTGATGACATATTCGGAAAAGACTGGAGAAACCCAACAAGAGGTTAGGGTGTGAATCTCCTATTTTCCTACACCCAGATCCACGTCCTTTATGGAATCTTCGAAACATTCACGTTCTTTGCTTCAATAAGATGTAGCATAACTATTGTCATACACATCATCCACTGCTTTCTTCTATGACTGAATACCATGTCTTTTTTCTTCTACCTATTATATATGGCCCGAACTAATGATTTTTCTACAGTTTCTTTTTCTTCAGAAATATTTTCGTCTTTAACTTACTTCAAACAATTACTCGTTTATTCCCTTCGTTTTTCTTCAAACTCTTTTTCTACGATTTCACCCTATAACACAAATCAATGGCGATTTTACTTGAGATTTTTGTTTTATATGTTCTTAGATATATCGATAAATAAAAGAGAGGTCATTCTCGTTAGCATGAGTCCTTTAGTAGGTTTTTCGTTCTATCGAAAAATAAGGAAAAAACATCTCAAAAAGAGATGTCATACAAAAAAGAAAAGTATAATCAAACCATAACAATAACTAGACTACAAAGTCAATATGAAATAAAAAGAAAACAATTTAAGAATGGATATACGAAAAGAACCAATCTATCGTATCTATTAGATCTCGAGGAAAATTTTTCACTATCCCAGATTGATATTTCAAATGATATGTCTGAAGTATTGAGCTGTCCAATTTTAATGTTGAAAGCACGATTCAAAAAATTTGAATCGGAACCCTATTTAGCCCTAAAGAATGGATACTATCAAACTTTTGACTTTATTGCTCTAGTAATGCAACCAATAGAAGGCTAGAAATTGCGAGCACCCACATGAGTAAAATCTTGACTCCACTACTGGAGTTCTTGTCTAGTGTGCTTGATTAACCGTGATGTATCAATAAAGGAAGCTATTCATACTCTAATATATACTGTAATTCTTTTCTAATATATAAAATGAAATCTATTGAAAAGTCAACTAAACCATAGATGATTATTATTCATTGTTCAAGAAGAGAGAGCTTCAACATGAAGCTAAATTATTGAACTTTTCAAATGGAATCAAAATTGTCTATTTCTCTTTTTGTCCTATGTTTCGAAATGCATACGAACTAAATAATCAACATGTTCTCATATGATTGAAACTAGTCATGTTTCAAGCTGATATGTATTTGTTCAATGTAACAGGTCATTATTTCTTTAGCTCAGTATCATAATACATCACATACTTTATTCTCTGATTCGATTACCTCTGCATCTCAAAGTAAACGCAATATAAGAAAATTTCCAATTTTCTTTCGTTGATATAATTCTATATTCAAAAAGACGATATATATATTTCTATAATAATACGTTTATTCCAACATTGTACCCTAAGTATTCTCATTGATTGATCAAATGAATGTAATCAACATCTTTTCACATAGTTCGATTTTATTTTATTTGTGTATTGAGATTCATATATATCTTTTAGTTTTACAGTCATTTCATGCAGAATACAATATCGAAAGAATATCTTCAAAAGTTCAATAAAAAAACATCATAATACAAAACAATACAATATTATTATTCAGTAAAAATATATGTCCTCGAACAGTGAATATCTACACATAATGATTATGAGTCATGGTTTTGACGCACACCTGTCTAATTATTGCATATAATTTCATCGATTATTGTAGAAGGATCATATGCGGACATCATAAGACGGCTTGATTGAAGAAACAAAATAAATGAACATATTTGTGACAACATTGCTAATAATGCTATTGTCTTTTTCATAAACTTATTATTATTCTCTTTACTCATATCTAAATATTTATATCTTGATCGATAGCTCATGATATTTGCTTGTTTTTCTTTCTCTCGTATTTGTACTTTATTTTTGTATGAGGTCAAACTGTTATTTGGTGAAATAATACGTAGTCAAATCGTTGTGAACTTTTTTGTCATGCATATTAACAAGAGAAAAAAATAAATAAAAAAGCATCGAGTTATGCGTCGTATATAAATACAATGAAATCCTCACAATCTGTATAACAAACAACAACGATGCGTTTTTCATCTTCGGCTTTTCTCGTTATTTTCTTAGTCTCAATCTTTTCGACTTTGAATTTGATTTCGGCCCGTGGCTCCTCGGACGATCCTCAATGTCGAGTGTTGGATACAAAAACTTACGCCTGTTTGCCAGCAAGAGGACCATCACGTACAACAGTAGTATATATCGGTGGACGTTGTGCTCAAATTAAGGCATGCAGTCAAAGACTCTACGGAAGATGTACTATCAATGCTAAGTGTGTAGTGAGTAATCCATCGTGTGCAAAATGCAGAGGAGAACATATGGGACCATCATGTAATACAGGATTATGTTTCAATGGAAAATGTACTGTTATTCCACGATGCTCTAGGATCATACATAATTAATTATTTATTCATAAATAAATTTTATTTAATCTCGAAACTTTAACAATTGTTTCGTTCTTTTTTTTTTGTATCTAATAAAGCTTTGTTTTGATGCACATCAGCTTCAAGCAAAAAAAACAAATCGTATCAATTGTACTGCTCAGAATCATACAAATTTAGAAATGATTGAGTATTCTAGAAGCTACAGGTAAATGTACTGTTCTTGTTCTGCATTTTTGTTTACTTGTTTACAATTCATATTGTAACACATATGAAAAAACATTATCAATCGAAAAGCGATTTAAATTTC